ATTGAATAGGATTACTAACAATGTTCACAAGATTATATATACAAAAAGTTATTTATCTGGTTTCCTAAAACATTTGTAATGTCAATGTCCCCAAATCCCGAGTGTGTCGTAATACTAGGATTAAACCAAGCATTTTTGAATGTATGGAGATCCATGATTTTTGAATGCATGGGAAAAACGTAAAAACATAACAAACAGTTCATCAGAATTTCTATAGGTAATGAATTTCGTATTTTTCTTCACTGTTTTTCTAATTTTGATGTCAACATTTATTAGTAATTTATTAAAGCCATTAATTTTGTCGTTTTCCATTAAAAGTGTTAATATTTCTTTCTCCTTTTCCATTAATTTTTCCGTTCTGCTTCTCCTGACTGTCGGTGAGTTTTCCGTTTTATATATTGAACAGCCGTTAAATACCGTATTTGACGGCATATAAGACGCACCCTTATTTAGACGGCCACATACAAGGAAAAAAAGTTTCAATAGCGTGGTTTCTTTTAGTTCTCACGTTTCGTAAAAGCCAAATAAACAATTATTGAATGCAATTACCTTCACGTATAAGACGCAGGTAACTTTTTTTGAGACCAAATTTAGGAAAAAAAGTGCGTCTTATACGCCGTCAAATACGGTATGCATAGATATTGCATCGTCATTTAACTTTGGACGTTTTCTCGGAATTCTTAAAATCGACCCATTTTTTATCCATGAATACATCTTCACGCACAATCATATCTTCGCGAAAATTGTACTTTTTGCTCTGTATGCGGTAAAATGTTTCATATTATGTCAGCTTATTAATTCAAATAAACTCGTCCTTACTTAAAAAATAATAAACAAAGTCATATTTCAGCAGTGAAGTAATTGCTAACATGTGATTTGCATGGATTTCGGAAATATGATTTTTTAAAATATATAAAATGCATAACTTAATAACTTACTTTATAGATTAGTTTCATATTTAAATATTTTGCTATAATATTTATAAAAATATTTTAATTACTTATCAAAATTTTAAACAGTCATTTAGCACGTATTTTAGTACTAATTAAATTTAATAAATCAAAAGTACTTATATTAAATTTATATCTCATTAGATGAATATGCCTTAGATTAATATATTTAGATTAAATAAGGTAATGAAACATTACAAAATAAATCTTATGCGGACTTCAGATTCTTGAAAGGGCAGATTTAGTCTCTTTTCATTCTAAAAGTATGAAAAACATTTTAAAAGTAAACGCTGATGAATTATGAAAAAATGCTAAAACGACCACGTCTAGAAGCGGTCATATCATGACATTTCAGCGACGTCGACAGATTGTCAAGATGCAACAGTAAATATTTTGCGTCTTCGCAACTTTGTAAAGACGTCGTAAAAGTTACCATGACTACTTTGCAACCTTTCGGACCAGTTTGCAACGTCTTTGCAACGGCGTGTGCTACCTGGGATCAAATAAATTAAGCCAAGTCAACTGGGAAGTGTGACGGATTCTGCCATAAATATCGAATTTACTTAACTGTAAACATTGGTGAATAATCGCTTTTAAAGCAGTAAGACTAAAGAACTGGCTGTTTAATCTAGAGACTTAGTTTTGAAGAAAGCGGCATATACAGTAGGCGGCTTAATTGTGATCAGGTTTGATCACGGCTATTTTAATAGGATTAAACAATGAGAAAAAGTACCCTTCAAAGCAGCAATAGAATTTAACTAATATGATGCAAATATAATTAGAAACACATAGACATTTTCACAGCATTTTAATTAGAAAAATGCAAAAGTTTGTTCACAGTGTTTCTGGAAATTATTTACCGTTACTATATCCTTAAACTTAATATTCTAGACATTCCTCATTCGAGGAATGTATGCCAATATAAAATTTTTGTTTAAGAAACTTATTTTGTCGCAGGTGTTTCCTGTGAATTCTGTTTCTCAAGAGAAAAGAAAATTCGAGGTAAAAGAAGTTTTTTTTTTTTAGTCCTGAAGAAGAAAACTTGTGTCTGATCGCAATCAAAATCGATAGGGTTATTCAAAATCGATGTCAAACTTAGGTTGCTTTTTGCCTAGTTTAGTACTCCTTTTTCACCTAGTTTAAATGGTTGATTGAAATCAAAACCAAGCTGTCTGGCGACTTAATCCGTCATTCTGCGATATTTCATTCACACTTTACGGTATTACACTGAATTTACACTGAAATTTTTATAATCTATTTTGATCTTATTGGACAAATGTGCTTCAGTTAATAAGTTTATTCTAAAATAGTTTGATTTTATTAACCGAATTTTTGATCATAATAAGCGATTAATTTCCCATGTTTTCATACACAAATGGGCGGGACGTCTACAAATTGGTAATAATATCCGAATGATTAACCGCAATCACATTAAGCGGCGTTTATTGCAGAAAATTTGTCTTGCTAAGACGTAATTTGTTTCGTGGGGATGGCATCCAGTTTAGATAGAAGTGTCACCAAATTTTGTAAACTTTGGTGTCATCCTGAAGTACCCTCTGCAGATGTCAGCTTAAGCCTTTAAATGCGACATTTCTATAATACATAAAAATTGCTAAAAGCATGGCATTTTGAAATCAAGATAAAATGACGATTTTCACATAGGTTTCATCTCCCGAAGTGCCAACCAGAAACTAAAAAGTTCAGACTCATAATTTAGGAAACAAAAGCAGTCTGTTAAATGTCTGCATGTGATTATACTATTATTATATGACAATGAGGACGTTAAATGTGAATATACTACTGACACATGACAATCTCGTTATTAAATTTCTATTTAAATTTGATTAGGGTGACATGTATCATAATTATTTCATTATCGGATAACATGTGCAAAAATACATACGTCGATTTATTTCTGCTAGAAAAAAATATTACTCGTAAAATTTTCAGACTGGTTCCTACTATTCAGCAATAAGTACGCTCAATATTTTTGTAGCTGGTAGAGTTGGGCTAGATATCAGACCCACAGAGCATAATACAAAAGACTTTCAAGCAATTTATTTAAAAGGACTAGGCCAGGAATTTTTTTTTCGGAAAAAAATAGACTATGCACTATTTTATATGTATGGACTATATAAATGTACTATCTTATACACGAAATATGAACTGTGTTTAAGATGGTTTATGAAGGAATTGGAAGAAAAGGGAAAATGTTTTCCTATTCATTCTATTGTTGTGTCTCTTCTTCTGTTAATATATTTTATTTTATTGAATTCGATTTAATACCAAATCATCCTATCCTCCCATAAAACATATTTTAAGCTACATAAACCGCATAATTTATTAGGTTCAAACATATGAAGTGGCCAGTATTGACATTTAACATAAAAATCCACGTACTAATTATACTACTTACTTAGAAAATCATAACAGAAATGCCACAGAAGTCAGGGAAAATGTTTTGACCCATTATGATAGAATCTAAGTTCACAAGTACTATTATTGCAATAGATGTATCTTTGAGGACTTTAAGTTCCAGAGACTTTAGTAGTGATTTTTAATGGGCCTGCTTTGTGATCTTATATTTTCATCTAGAAAGTGGAAGCCGGTAGCTCCGTAAAAACCATTTACTATTTAATATACTATTACTATTTAATATACTATTATAACATTACTTTGTTTGATTACAGCATTCAACAATTAAGTGGAAGATGAAGAAGACTCCTATTCATACCACCAATAATTTGGTTTGCTTTTTTTTATTTGATTATGGCAAAGCAAGCTAGGGATGTTTGCCTAAAATAAGGGATGTCTTCTTGGAGGGTTTTTATAAGGGAAACGAGCTCGTATCCACATTACACATGGAGGAAACCACGGAAACTCCTATGTAGCCAGCGCGTTTGCCTGAAATTGAGCCCAGGTCGAACTATCGAAATTCAATAACTTTACCTCTTAGCTGCTGGTGGTAAGAAACGTAAAGGAATCCCCTTGAAAGACATTGTATACATTGAATTAAATGACTATTGTATGTACTTGAAGGTCAATAAATTAATACCGTTTTGATTTTGAGCGTTTGAAAAAATATGATTCATCAGAAATCAACACTCTTTTTTTTGGGGGGGTCTCTTCACTCGAGCTAAAGTTTTATCTGCATTTAATGCTTTTAAATTATCTGTATACTGTTATACTTTATACAGATCTATTATACTATGCCAGATATACTGCGTCAGATAGATATCAGTGATATATATAGACTGTGACATATAGATCAGTACATACGGTGTCTGATACACTGTATTTAAATTATAAAACAAAATATTGTTTTATAATTTAAATATAGTATAACAAATTACTTTTCGTAGAGATTAAATTCACAGATGTATACGCGTAGTTAGCATGTGAAATAATATTTTTCTCCCTAATGGCAACTACAAGAAAACTCGTATCCAGATGAACAACAATCACGCTTTCTGCGCATTCACGCAAAGCTCCTCACGTGCGATACGTAATTCTCCATTACTCTTATACGAGTCACCGATCAAGAATTTCAGATGTTTGCTTATAACATTTCCCAAGTGAAATACCTCCCTTTCCCCCAAAAAAGGTGTTACGTTCTAAACATTTACTTATAGTTTTGAGAAATAAACGATCTGATAACTGCGTTTTGAGGAATAAATAATACATTTCAATATACCAAGTGCATTATTTAAACCCTTCCTACACTCCAAACGCCTAAACATTGCATACATTTACTACGGCAATACTCATACTCGCTAATTTAAGTAAGGCGATCAATGACGACTATCTCGTAGCCAGCAAGTAAACTCATTATGCCAACTACCAGAATTCTCGTAGATGGCAACGAATATACTTGAAACTTCTAAATACGTTTGAAGCAGTCTTTCACATGCTGAAAACAAAAGAGAAAGACTCAATTAATAGTGGTTACATTAAATTCTTAAAAGAGGAGAGTATTTTTGTTTTCGATAAATAGGTACGAGCTGGAGGTTGAAATGCAGAATTTTAATTTGGCGTTCTGTTCTTTTTCAGATTTTGCCAAGGCGAGTGGTTTCTGCTATAATAGAATGTCGACAACTGCAACTTGACCTTCTGGAAAGATCCTTATTAGAAACTATTATTTTGGCAAGGAAAGGCAAGTGACAACTTTGTTCAATATTATCTAGAGTTTTCTGATAAAAATAAATTTTACCGAAAATTTTATAATATGTGTTTACACTTTCCTCAAAAATACCCGATAGATGTTAAAGAAAGCCAAAACTGCTATTTAGTTCTAAAACAACTTGCATGCGGATTGCGGAGATTCTGACTTTTAATCTAGCACAAGATCAAAAGCCTAAATGTATTTTTCTAGATTTTAAAGAAAAAATACCTTACACGCACTGAAGGATTTTTTTCCAAATACAAAGACTGACTAAAATTTTCATTTAAAATTAATATTTCTGTATACGTTCTTATATCGACCAAACTTTATTATTTCCGTACTTACTGTGGGTAAAAAAAGTATTTGCACACGTACATTTTTGTTTGCAATTCATAAAAAGAAGCATTTAGAAATTTAAAAAACTGTATTGCCAAATCAGAATAAGTTTAATCATCCAAAACAAACAGAAAAATTACAATAATATAAATAACAATGCTTTTTTGTAACAAAATTAAAATATCTCGTATCAAAAAAGTATTTGCACACCTGCATGAATACAAAAGAAATAAAATATATAAGCAAATTTCAAATAACTAATATTTAGTATGCATTCCTTTAGCATCTATTACTGCTTGTAATCTTGCTGGCATTGATTTAATTAAATTTTCTGTAACAGTAGGGTCAGTATTCGACCATTCTTCAATAAGGGCTTGTTTAAGGGCAGATTTGCTTGAAATCTTCCTTTTTCTTATTTTTAAATCCAAAGAATTCCACAAATTTTCCAAAGGATTTAAGTCTGGTGATTGTGGTGGAGTGGCAAGTTTTCTGGGTACATTATAAAGCAACCACATACGTGTTATACCGGCAGTGTGTGCTTGGGATCGTTGTCTTGCTGAAAATAGTACGAATTACTGATACCCAATTTTATTGCACTTTGTGGCAAATTATCTCGCAACACATCAATATAGGTTCGAGCTGTCATATTCCCATCAATGAAACACAAATTACCAACTCCTTTGCTAGGCATGCACCCCCAAATCATAACAGAACCTCCTCCATGTTTAACTGTAGGTAACACATTTTTGGTATGAAAAGCAGTACAAGGTTTTTCTCCAAACTAATTTCCTGCCATCTGATTTAAAGATATTGAACTTACTCTCGTCGGAGAATATGACATTTTTCCAGAAATCAATTGGCTTATTGATATATTCCTTAGCGAATTCAAGTCTCTTCAGTCTATTTCGTTCAGTTATGAGAGGTTTTTTTCCTTGGAGATCTCCCATAAATGTGTGCATCGTGCAGGACATTTCGAACACTTTGGGCACAGATTTGAACTCCAGATGTTGAAGCGACATCATTGGCTAAAGTAATTGCACTAACAAATGGATTTTTCGATGCTTCTCTTATGATTTTTCGCTTCATTCGCAGTGAAAGTTTCTTTGGGCGTCCAGAGCGCAAGTTATTTGATGTAGATCCTCTTTCTTTATGACGTTTTATAATATACCGAACAGTAGAGAAGCAAACATTTACTTTTTTACCTATTTCTCGATAACTTAGGCCATTTTCACGTAGAGAAACAATTTTTTCTCGCAACGAAATCGGCAATTCAGATTTCTTAGGTGCCATTACAATTTGAAATCGACAATCAACTGATAACGTTTCGACAACACCTCCTTTTATAGTCGTCTTACGTATGTTATTTACTGCGGGATGACTGTCAAATAATGTCAAATAATAGCATAAAAATGCAAATTTGCTAAAGTTGAGTTGAGTGTGCAAATACGTTTTTGACATAAGCTATTTTAATATTGTTGCAAAAAATGTTTTTATTAATATTATTGCATTTTTTGTAATTAATTTAAATGAATAAGCTTATTCTATTTTTTAAATGCCAATTTTTGTATTTCTTAATGCATTTTCTTATAAATTGTGAACGAAAATGTATGTGTGAATACTTTTTGTATCCACTGTACCTATTTGAAAACGTTGATTTACCTAAAGTGAAGAGTAAGAGAGAAAAAGAGAGAGACTGAAGTACCGCGCCAAACGGTGTAACTGCAGCACGCGTGAGATGCTAGCACCTGGGCTCAAATTAAATGTTTCAGAAATAATAACAGGGTATTGTAACAATTGAATGAGTCTGCTTAATACCTGATGAAAACTAGACATGAAATTGCACATAGGAAAAATTAGATAACTGCATATCAAATTTCGATATGAAATCAAAGGGAAAAGAAAACCCTACAGTAATCAAAGATTCGAGTTAAACAGTCTTTCAGCAATTTCGATTGAAAATTATCTAGTACTTTGCTTGAAAATACATACAAATGGTTTGGTTTATTTGATTATGGCAAAGTACTCAAGGGCTACCTGCATAAGGAGATAAATGCCTTCGTGGAAGACTTTCTAAGGAAACTGGCTCGTATACACGTTAGAGATGAAGAAAACCACGAAAACGCCCATACAGCCAACCCGTCCTGGATTCCAAACCCAGATCGAACTTCCAGTCGTTCGGCCGCTGTTCGACCTATAAATGTATTTTAATAAAAAAAGACATAGAATGTGATCGTGTATGCCAATTATATAGAATTATCGCTTCCCAAGTGCTCTTTTTTTTATTGTATGAGCGACAACCTGTCCAACTGCATTGAAAGATCCATGGTTCGAATTGTTGTTACTTTCTACCAATTATTCCACGGAAAATTATAATAACCTCTATAGCGGAGCACGAACTAAAAATGTGGTTGGCACTAATTCGGATTTGATGACTGGATTCCATGCCTCTTTTCAGTTGCCCTTTAACTGAGGAATAAAATAAGGGATTATCTCATTTAAAGTATATACTTTCCAGGAGCAAGTGATAGTATGTTCAGCCAGCAGATGGAATCACTTTTCTTGGCTTCCAAATTTCTAACCGTGTTTACAGGGTGACAAAAATAATTCCGATGCAGAGCAACTGCTGAAACTTAGTTGAAACAATGAAATTCATTATTATATGTTTCAGAAACGATGTCAAAGCAACTCAATTCACGCTGAAACGATAGAATTCTAATGAGTTATCTGACAGCAAGCTCATCATTGATTACTATAGTTAATAAAATGCTTTCTTTTCATTTTAATAACACTGAGTCTTGCATAAGTCCAGCCGTTTTGTAAGCAGTATAGTCTTGTGATATGAACATTTGAAATAGATTGTAGTATAGTATGACGTACTTCATTAGCAGAAGCCCATAATTTTCTGCCAGGAACCAAAAATTTCAATTCTATGGTAAAAGATTTAGCGTGGAATACAAGTTCATGAAAATAGGAATTTCTGCTGGCTCTAATATTTTTCTCTTTTTAAGTTGAAGAAATCTTACAAAAAAGTATTATTATAACAGTTACCAAAAGTCAATATTTTAAAATTACTTTCATCTTTAAACAACTTGCATGCAAAATTTTAAAAGAAATTATATTAATTTTTTAAAATACTAAATCAAATTGTGGAATGTCGAACAATTAAATCTTGCTTAGTCCTAAATAAAATAAAGGCCGTACTAGTAAAATATGTAGCAATATTCTTTAAAGTACATTTTAAAATAATCTTGAAAGCAGGAGTGTGATTGCTTATGGAAATGACTGTATGACTCTGAAAATTGAAGTAAATTTACGTGTATAGTATAAAGATAACGTCTATTTCAGTTTACGATGAAAAAATATAAGGCAAAGGATGTCATTGGCTCTGAAATAAGAGGCTCTATTAATCGAATTGACTTTTCGAGAAAAGAAATTCGCCTTACTGTTCACACTAATTTCTAGCATACACTTCATCCATGGAAAAACTGGTCTGAGTTAGAATAATCGAAATTGCTGTGCAAAAATATTTGTCTGTTTGTGTACTTCATTATTAAGAGAATACAGTAAAAGTGAGTTGACGACCTGAGCTGTCGTCCAACACATTCCTAACTGATGATTCCAAACAGCATCTCTAATTTTGCCGTGGTTGAATAAATGCAAAATTTAATGGAATTTTGAATCAAAACAGAGACATTGACATACCATTCTCTTAGTTGTAGTCCTTTTAATTATAATTCAGGCTGAAATTCTTATTTTTCGGATTCTGAGAATTTTAAATTGATGCTTGGAAATATTGGGCCAGAAATGTAATGACCCATGATTAAACTGCATCATAGGAACATTAATTAAATTACACGTTTTGTTTACTTCATTATGTAAACTATTGTGCTTTCATTTGGAATGGAATGAACTTATTGAGTATGTCAAAGCACGCTAGAATTATCTAGGGAAAGAATGCCTTCGTGAATGGCTTCATAGCAGAAATTCGCTGATATTCTCGTTATATATGGTAAAAGTCATAAAAACATTCATGCGGCCAGCCTGTCGGTCAAACGACCTACCATACTTTCATCTTGATTAAATAACAGTTATTTATTTATGAATAAATTTATCTTACCATCAGCTGTCTTCATAGTTATCAGCTGAGTAATGAAATCGTTTCTGAATCTTAAGCAGATAACAATGAATTGGACTCAGAATATTCATATGCTAAGATTAAAAAATATCTCATTGGTAGGAGCCACCTATTTGGTGTACTGTTGTTTAATAGGGAATAAATTTGTTTATGTTGTTTGAATTAGTATGTTTAATTTTTAAGTATATCTGTAAGTAAAAATGCATTTGTTTTACCAATTAAAATTCTCAAAATTTGTAATTTACATTTTCGATATTATACTGGAATTATTTACTATCTTTTAATAACCTACATGTGTATATTTTATTCAGGAATTTTGTAACTGTTCGATTAATAGCTTTTAGTATCTTACAAATAAATATTTCCCTTAGAAATATCACACATGCGTATACTGGTATCTACATATTTAAAGTTAGGGCTCAGGGGGCCTACAAGCAAAGAAAAGGGTTAGGAATCCTTGTTTTAGATGTTTTTAGAACAGTGCATTTCATTGCCACTTAACAGGCTAGCCATTTTAGATATCGAAGGCCCAGCTGTCCTTTATGCTGTTATCACATCTATAGACGCGCGCGCTTACCCGGGACAATTCCGAGAAACGAGATTCTAGTAGTACGACTTTAAGCGGCAGGCTTCCGAGAAATGTTTCGTCTAGCTAGGAGCAACATTTTAAAACTTTTCCCAAAATGTTCCGGCTGGAGACGTGTTCCTCGAACGTTCAACCAATCAGACGAAAGGTCAGCTTCTGAAGGATCACGGGTAACTTTCAATATGGCGATGGTTCTCACTGTGAAGTGATGGACGGTGGAAATAGAGGCCGTTTTAATTATTGCTGTTTTGTTGTAATACAACTGCCTGAGTCATTTTTTAAATGTGTTAAATATATAATCGTGGAAATTTCAGAGTTGACAGTATTTTACGACGTTCTTGCATTTCGGATTTGTTTACAAATTGTTCGTAGCCAAAAGTTCGCCAAATTTGTCGTATTTCGTGCTGATCGTGTATTATAACACTGTTATATAATAGAATTTTATTTCTTAAATTTAAGTTGAATAATTTTTTAAAATCCGTTTGTATATGCGCGGCTTTTCTCCTAATTACTTATCTTTTAAATTGTTAACTGCATAATCAGTGACACATTTTAAACAGCATAAAAGATGCATAAAAAAGAAAAGCATAGCTTATGTAATAATGAGAATACTCATTAAATTTGTCTATTATTTTCATGTTATTAATGAAATACTTTTTGAATTATAAATACATTAGAAACTATACTTTTATTGTAAATGCTACATATTGAAACATTGAAAATTTATGGATTTATTATTATGCATGATGAAAAACATTTGTATATACATTCATTAATATAAATCTTATTCATTACATTAATATAATAATACTAATAATATATAAATATATATTAACAACTTCTAAAACATCGCATCTCTCTATCTGTATGTAAATATATGACTTATTAGATGTGTATATATATATATGTATGTATGAATACAAAAATGAACATTGCCAAGAAGTTTATTTGAAGTTACTTTTAATTCAGATAACGATTATGTAATTGGCAGCAACTATAGTTATCAGTTCTTTGCAAATTATTATGGGTATGTAATAATCAGTTGAAAAATAATTGATGAGTATTTGAGTACTAAAGAGTGTACACATTTTGTTATTGGGTTAATTCATAATTATATCATACGTATGATCTACGTAATAAAAACATGACTAATAAATAATAAGAAATGTAACAGCTGTGCATTTATAACATTTGATTACTTAAAACAGCGCACAACTGATTATCACCTTCATGTCTGTTTACATAATGAATTGCACTTTCCAATTAAGTGCACGGGCCTACTAGTGGCCGAAGCGTCGTTGAACACTGGTAGTTCTGTCTCAGGTTAGAATGCCGCGAACGGGCTGGCTACATGACGTTTCCTTGGTTTGCCCCATTTGTAACTGGTATACGAGCCAGTTTTAAAAAATCTTCTACAAAGGGATCCCTCCTGTTGTTATCCCTCGAGGCTTTGCGGTAATCACATAAAACCAACTGAGCCCACCAGCGGCCGAGCGGTAAAGTCGCTGAACACTGGTAGTTCGGTCCGAGGTTCGAATCCCGCGAACGGGCTGGCTGCATGGACGCTTTCGTGGTTTTCCCCATGTGTAACGTGTATACGAGCCAGTTTCCCTTAGAAAGTCCTCCCCGAAGGCATCCCTTCCCTTAGGCAGATAGCCCTAGTGTGCTTTGCTGTAATCTCAATAAACCAAACCATAAAACAAACTCATGATGTGAACACCTAATTTCTAGAGTTGGTATAATTAATGTGTTTTAGGTATATTACCGAGTGTTCTATGGGACAGTAAACAACTCGCACATGTTTGATTGCTCATGTATTCATATGCTTTATTTGATCTTCATTTTGCTGAATAGTATCTGCTGGCTGTGAGGAGGTAAATATCAGCCATATAGATTTTTGTCATTTGAATGGACAGAACAGTAATTATGAGCCATAAAGTTAGTCAGAAAATGCTTTCACCAGGTCACAAATTTTCCAGTGAGCCATCAAATTTTCATTGAAATGCAGACAACAGAAAATACACATAAGCGATGTGTGATAAATAGACTTATCCAGCACATGTTTTTAAACTATTCTTAGGTGTATACAGAATTTGGCTATTACTGATGTAATTGATTGCTATAACCAGAAGTGTGTTTATCTGTTACATGAAGTGCCAGAGTGGAGATCAAAGTGATTAACTTGATAGCAATCACCTTTCTATTATCTTCCATTACTAACAATAAAGTTTAAAACGAAAAGCGTGTGAGCGATACAAAACAACACGAAGAAGCGAATGTCACTTGAAAGGAAACGTCACTTTCGCCAATCTGAGCGATAACTGATTCTTGTTTGGCTTTCAGCCTGTTTGCCAAGTGAAGATGGTAACCCTATTTCGCCAAAGGCCGTTTCTCAGAACTGTTGCTACAAACGTTTTGTCCCGGCAACAAACAGCTAATGTGATAACGGCTTTACCTTCTTGCGCAACTTCCCTTTGGATTTATGGAAGGTTCAGGTGTCAACAAGTTGTTTAAAATGATCACCCTCTTCTGAAAAATTCTGAATAGTTCATTGAATTTCAATGAAACAGAATTTTAGACAGATTGCTTCGTATTTCAGTAAATTAAGTTTATAGTAGGCGCTTCCTTTATCGCACACGTGTCTTCTTTTCAATTTTTAGTAATTTTTCAAACTATTTATTGAAGCATATTGTAACTTGAATTTTTAAAAAAGGCATCCGCTGAAATGTAGCTCTAAAATTGATTTATCAAGGTTTGGCGGGCCCACCAGCGGCCGAGCGGTAAAGACGCTGAACACTGGTAGTTCGGTCTGAGGTTCGAATCCCGCGAACAGGCAGACTGCATGGGCGTTTTCGTGGTTTTTTCTCATGTGTAACGTGTATACAAGCCAGTTTCCCTTAGAAAGTCCTCCACGAAGACATTTCTTCCTTTAGGCAGATAGCCCTCGTGTGCTTTGCCATAATTGAATAATCCAATGCAATCCAATCCAATCCAGTCCATTAAGGTTTGGTAGAGTATTGAAGGGAATTTCATTTAAACCGTCTGTTTATACTTCAGACATACCGCCTTCATTGACTAAAAGTCTTCATCATCTTGTGGTAGAAAAAGTCAGCAGGCGGTCCTCAGAAAAACTCAATGGACAGCAAGCATAAATGGGCTACAGGGTACTGGTAATCTTGACATTATGGATTATCTGAAAAACTGATTCCATAGTCTGTAGACGACAATGTCTCTCATATATAACCACTCTACTTCTTAAGCTTATGAAAAGATTACTTCCATACACCCAACTACTCGCTGTTTTAGAGTTTATGGAATTTCATATATAATTCTTCAAAGTAATTTTCATCAAATTGTAAGGATTTATTTATGTTTAAGTAACCAGTTATTTTATGTTAAACATCTTTACTGTCATTTTCCCTTTCCATTTTCCTGCAAGAATGCTAATTTTTTGTTCGCGCGTATTCAAATGAGGTAGTAAGAGATAGAATTTAAAGGAAAGTTTTAGACTGTTTAATTAGGGAGTGTTTCGCCTACTCGAGGCCACGTTACTAGTTGCACTTCTTTGACAGGAGTCTGCCTTCGACGTTGCGTTATTCTTGCTAATAGCGCTTATCTCGCCGATATAGGTTTGAACCAACTTGCGCGTTGTTCATCGCTGTGTAGCTTTTGACTAGCCGCCGACTTAGCTTTAATTTGAATTAGTTACTTTTGACTTATGCCATAAATCTCAGAGCTGGTTGGTTTTTGCAATCACAAGAACTGCCGTTTGTTAAATCATTTTTAGTTCTGAATAAATGGGTCTTTTCCTTCTTAAGTTCTGTTTCATCTTAGACATGGATGCATGTCGTTTACACGTCTATTGAAGGATTTGCCACAAGTTACATTTAGTTTCAGGCATAATCTCTACTAAATATAAACGCTTTTCAATCACTTTATATGTGGAGCAGAGCGATAAAGTTGATCGACAATAGTAGTTCGGTCTGGGTTCGCTTCCAAACGAACAGGCTGGCTGCATGGGCATTTTCGTGAATTTCATCATGTATAATGTGGATAACAGCCAGTTTCCCTCAGAAAATCCTCCGCGAAGGCACTACTCCCCTTAGGCAAATAGCCGTAGCATGGTATGCCATGATCTAAAAATCAAACTAGTTAATATGCACGATACATTTTCATATAACAAGTACCAACATTTTCTAAGCGAACAGTGGTACTTTTCTGTTCCGTATATTTATTATTTCTCTTATTTTCTACTTTATTTATCATTATCATTTACTTTTGCAATACTATAGAGGAACAAATTGGTTACTCTTTAGCTACTGCAGGAAACTAATATGGAATCGTGAAAGATATTCCTTTCCATTAATGACCTGATTCCTATGAATTTGCTTCTTTTGACATACAAAACTTTAAATGTTTCAGTCATGCACCTAATAAAAATGATTAAATTTATGATTACTTGTGGCTGTTGATGAAAGCAGTGCATTTGTGTGTGTGTGTGTGTGTGTGTGTGTGCAAGAACACTGAAATCTTATTTCTTTCTTCATTAGAACTAATCTAGAATTTATTCTAGAATGCTCTAAATTGTTTAGAACTTTGTTAATCGGAACTATAGTCTTTCAGCAGCCGGTCGAAATATGCAATTTTTCTTTCTTTAATATACATATAGCTCAATTTAGTAAGAGATACCTTGCTTATGAGCAAATTACCCATGTATAAAGTTAATGTTTTCTGATTAACAATAATTTTAAAATAAAATATACAGTTACCGCTATATTTTATATTCCGATAATTGTTAACAACTTTTTCAGATTGCACCAAGCCTCTTCTTGCTCCCAGTCATGTCGACATAATCCTGGAACAGGCACAAACTACACTTGAGCAACACATGCTACGCGTCAGAAGCAAAGAAACTGGAGTCTTTGGAAGAACTCTCTTGGTTCTGCCGTGCCTGAGATCTATTCCTCAGCGGCTTCTTTTAGAAAATGTAATTGGACTGTCGGATGAAGATATTAGAAGACTTTTCTGAGTCATATCAGTTTTATCATATTCAGTGTATTATATTTAAGCACCTCTACCTTACCACTTCATTAACTATTGGAGGTCGTTAATTTTTGCATGTCAAGTTATGAATGATATGTTGACGCTGCTTTATTTAGCATGATTCTTCAGATAATATTAAAAAATCCGTTGCCTTAAATCAGAATATTATCAAAACAAATTTGGAATTTTGAGTTTTAATCTTCAATGCCTGTTATTTTTATTAATTAAAAATAATTATAGTTTAACTCCGATTTAACTACTTTTCATTCGTACGGCCCGGAAACGTACGAAACTAAAGGAATATTACACCATATTGAAAATTTCTTTTAAAAGTTGTATTTGTTTAGTGTGTGCTCAAAACATGAAAATGATAGATAATTAATAAGAACAAACCCAGTTTAGCATTTTATTACGTTCATCATGTTTAAAATCGAGTTAAGGCAATCTTTGATTCAACTATAATACTGATTTAACGAACGATAATTTTCAGTATTCTAACTGAAAATCGGCAAAAGTACTAACTTCTAAAATTTGGATAATAATTTTAATTTTCTGAAATTTGTGCTAAGAATTTATTTTCATTTAGCTTCATAGAATTTATTCTTCCCATATTATTATAGAACTCAGATACAAGAAATAGTCAATAAAACTCGTAAATGTAGTAAAATTTCTGAGTTAATAAATTATTTCATCGTTTGAATTCTGCCTTGAACTTGCAGATGGTAAACCGAAAACGCATAACGGAATTTTAAATATGTTAGAAATGGATGCCAATAAAGTCTTGAGTGTTGAAAATATATAACTTCTCAAAAATTGTGTATATATCTCTCAAATACTACGCCATAATCCGTTAACCATCGAAATTAATCCGAAAATTATAACTCTGAACGGAATAAGTGTTGATTCAGAAGGCAACTACCTGCGAATCAACCAAGCTTTATGAAAACCGTATATGTTACAAGTTTTATTTCATGTAAAACAAAAACCTTACTTCAAACAATTATTACAGATTATGATGATTAACACAAGTAGTGTTTAACGCAACACTTCTATTGACAAAAGTGTAATTTTTTATCGAAGAGGAATTTAGACAAAATAGTAATGTTTATTGAGTTGGCGGTAAGATTGCTATCTGTATGAAGTATTGAAAAGGTGCTTAAAGAGTTAGGGCCCGTATGTAAGCATGTTATGAGGATCCTGAAGAAGAAAAACTCAAAACGATGCAAAGCTGGAAAATCTGAGATTATGTTAATGAGATACTACTTGCAGAGGTTTAATTTAGGCAGAAACATATTGTTCACCACTCAGAATTAGGGAAAAAGGCTGGAAATTACCATTTTTCTTTACACGAACTCAAATATTAACACATCAGGACCCTAACACACAGTTTTCACGAAAACTCTTTTAACTTGTTTAAAGTAATATCTCTTACCTCTTGACACAGGAAATATATGAACCATCGTTTGCAATTTGATAAGAACTAAGTTTTCGTTCTGGTGGACAGTATAGCGATTCGCAGACGCTAATTTCTAATTCGAAACCATTTGTGTGAGTTCGACTCCCTCCTGAGGCCTTGGTTGCTGCTGTCTTTTTTTTTTTTTTCCTTTTCGTTGATGTAATATTGGTAGCCTCTTTCTTATGCAACAAGGTCAACCCTATCTTGAACGAGATGGTTAAATGACCGACTGGTTTGGCTATTTTTAACGAATACTTAATGAGAAGGAGAGTTCCCACGATGGCTTAACGGTAACAATTGACAAAAGCAAAAATTGGTTGCTAGGTAACTAGATATTGGTATCTCACGGAAAATGGTAGAGGGGTTTTGTTTTAGCTTTCCTAACTGGCTAACTGGCTCCGTTTGACATGTGTAAACGAATCTAATGACTTTTACGCTGAAGCAACCATAATAATAATAAGCAAGCATAATAATAATATAAGCAAGCATAATAATAATATAAGCAAGCATAATAATAATATAAGCAAGAATAATAATAATATAAGCAAGAATAATAATAATATAAGCAAGCATAATAATAATAAGCAAGATAATTACGATATTTAAACAGTGAAGCAAGATAGCTGAAGACTTGTAAGCACAATCACACATGAGCAAATTTATCTTTCCTAACTGGCCCCGTTTGACATGTGTGAACGAATCTAATAATTTTTACGCTTTATTACTGTGATAATTACGATATTTAAACTGTCATGTGGGAAAGATCTAATTTTTCGTGTTCAGAAAATATACGGTAATACATTAAATAAAATTGCATTCTTCGATATTATCTTCAGTAACCGAAATGTGTAACTGTGAACCTTGTAGAAGAACTAAAAGATAGAAACAAACAAACATCATGAAATAAACAGCGAGGTCTACATGAAGATAACTTTGATATGTTTCGAAATCACTAAATTAATTTAAATAAGACGATAACAAAATGACAACTAGAGACGAGGTCTATTCCACATAGGCATACAAAATTATTGACAAATTGAAAAATAAAAAGTGTGTGAAGTAAATAGAGTTCGAATGAAAGGAATTTTATTTACAAAAGACGAATGTGTTCCTTTTTGTGGTTAATTTTGTAGAATTTAATACGATGAACGACTACTAATGAAAATGTACAGTATTTGTGTTAAAAAGGATTAGAAAATACAAGACTTTTCAGAGTAAAGATTAGCATTTGAAAGCATAGAATTAAGGATTATTTTCAGAATAGTTTTACCTAGACTACACTAAAATAAGAGTCTGAAGCACGAATGAATACACGAATGAAGCATAAACTAAATTAGAATTTCCGAACTCAAGTGAAATTGAGTAGAGCATCCATCAGTGGGTTATTTTGACGCAAATTATAAACCTCTGCATCTAATGCAGAAAAAATATTTTGAAAATATATGAAGTCTCAAAGACCTTAGAAATATACAAGATAAATGATGTAGTAATCTTCATAATAAGTAGGATTTCTTACGTAAATGATACGAACCGCAAAAAGTAAATGTCAGTTATTTACTTCAGCAGTCGGAAATCTCTTGCGAAACGTCCAGCAACATCGTCCGTACGATTTAACCGACAGTATGTGGGAGCATTTATTACCGATTTTTAAGTTCTCAATTAAAATTATTTTTATAATGCGTACTAGACAGGGCTCATCTCAGAGAAACAGATCAAATTTACGAATTAACATTTGAAGGTTACTTTTTAAAGCCTAGCCACTTGGACCTTCAGCCGCCTAAAATAGTTATTATAAAATATTATGCAGTGTTTTTAATGAGTCCAGCTACTGGTCTAGCTAGTGGTTAATAATAATAAAGATTAAGAACTGCGTTTAATGCTTTGAAGTTCTTTAGTTGGTTAATCAACAAAATTATATTTGAAAGAAAAATTAAATATCTCATGCTTTGCGAAATGACTAGAGAGTCTCTTGGAAGATAAAAACTATTTTATCTCAAGCAATGGTAACACATTTATTTTAAATCACGGAGTCTGTTAATTAAATCTGAAAAAAAAAGTATCTTACGCTTTGCCGAGTTGCAACACTTTTGTTTTAAATGGCTGAGTTTGTTAATTAAATTAGAAAAAATAAATATCTTTATTCCTTTTCCTAGTGGCAACACACTACTTTTAAATCTTTGGGTCATCTTCTGTTTTTTGTTCTGAACTGTTTTCTTTACTACCACTTCTACTTTCGTCGACTCTCACTAGGATAGAAATGAGTTTAAATAAGAACATATTTCTCAAAGTTTGGAGGTGAGTTTTCGACTGCGAAGCTGACTTCGTACTTTTCCTCGCCAATCTCGTAGAATTACCCAAATCAACTCTTAGCCTTTTTGCTAGCTTATTTAAGAAGTCTGAGTGTGCGTGATTATGGCAAAGCCTCGAGGGCTATCTGCCTAAGGTGAGGGATGCCTTCGTGGAGGACTTTCTAAGGGAAACTGGCTCGTATACACGTTACACATGGAGAAAACCACGAAAGCGCCCATGCAGCCAGCCAGTTCGCGAGATTCGAACCTCGGACCGAACTACCAGCGTTCAGCGACTTTACCGCTCGGCCACTGGTGAGCCCCTTAAGAAGTCTGAACGAAAGCTTAGATTAGCGTTAGGTTTGTGAATTCCAACGTTACTTAATTCGAATATGGCTTCTTTATTTTACGTTATCTTAGATTATTCAAACTGTTTCTTGCGATAACGTTTTCTATACGTTTAAGCACGAGTTGTGCATGTGTGTTAAAGTTACAATGGAAAGGTTTATTTTACACCTTCTTCTGTGTTAAATTACAATAAAAAAATTGTTTTAAACTTCTTCTGAGTTACAGCTGTTTTAATAAAATGGCGTGATAAGTCTGTTGACAAGGAATCGGAAGACAGCTTAGGTCTTTGGTTTTTTTAAAAAATTCTATCAAATTGCAAACGATGGTTCAGAGATCAAATGGCATAACACTCTCATAAAAAATGGAATTAAATATGAGAAATGGCGAAGTAACAATCTTTCAATGTTTTAAAGAACCAAATTTATAAGTTTACCCGCAGGTTATGCATAATATTTGAGCAGAGAATACATCCCTTTTTCGTTCAGAGCAACAAGCAAACAAATCTTTCATTTTTAATGAAAGCTGGTAAAGCAAAATGCACCATCTGATCTTCTTGTAAATGCAATTTAAATGAAGTATTTTACTTGATAGTCGAGAAGTTAGAATAAGTTATTGATGAACATCAATTACAATGGCTGAAAGTCAAATGCAATATAAGAAAGCAGCATTAAATAGCATGAAAGACAAAGGAATTAGAGCCCACATGACATACTGTTTCACTAGGTAAACTTCCCCAAATTAAGGGATGTAAGCCTTTAATTATCTAGAATCAGTGAAACAGGAGACACTCCAGAAGAAAACCTGTATGGTGACAATTATCAGAAAGGGCATGCTTCATGTTAAAATGAAACTCAATTTTACTGAAGAAGCACCTGTGTCTGATCGCCCTCGAAATCGATAGAGCTGGGAAGATTGGTTTTGGTTTGGCTTATTTAATTATGGCAAAGCTCGCAACGGCTATTTGCTTAAGGGAAAGGATGCCTTCGTGGATTACTTTATAAGGGGTGAGTGAGTGAGTGAGAGATTATGGCGCAAAACCAAAGTTGATTATAGTGCGCCAACGCGAGATGGGGTGAGTACAATTGATGAAATTAAAATACAATAAATAAAAACAAGTAAACAAATGTATCAAATCCAGAGGATGAAGTCATATAAAAACAAGTTAAAACCACACATTTAAAATTCAAGACACAATCTTCAAAACAAATTACATTAGGTGATAAAAGCCAGTCTCTTTTAAATAATAAAATAAATTACAATTCACCTCCCTTCCGATTAAATGGTCGAGAGGTATGTCACAGCTATTAAAATACTTCTGACGAAGATTATTAAAATATGGACACTCAATTAAAATATGACGGACAGATAGACAAACATTACAATTTGAACAGACAGGCTCATTCTCTGCTTTTAAAAGGTAGCCATGTGTCACTCTTGTGTGACCAATTCTGAGGCGAGTCAAAAGAACTTCTTCTTTACGATTTCCAGCAAAATCCCAATGCTCAATTCTAGGCTTTAGATGTCTTAACTTGTTTTGACGCTGAACATCCCAAAATTGCTGCCATTTTTTTCGTATCTTCTCTTTCACAACATAACAGATGTCTCCAAAAGGGATGAGGCGACTGGACAGTTCAACAGCACATTTCGCTGTGATATCTGCCAGCTCATTCCCTTTAATTCCCACATGACCGGGA